AAGTTGAAGACTTTGTTTTCAGTTCGATCATCTGCAGATATGGGATCCCAAATCAGATTGTGGCTGATAATGGAACTCAATTCAACCGCTCCTCATTTCGAGATTTCTGCTCCAGTTATGGGATCAAGTTACAGTTCACCTCCGTTTACCATCCGGAGTCCAATGGCATGGTTGAATCTGTTAACAAATGCATTCTGGAAGGTATAAGACCGAGATTGGAGCAGCATAAGGCCAAGTGGGCAGACGAGCTCAACAACGTCCTCTGGGCATACAGAACTACGAGCCGAACTGCCACAGGTACTACATTAAACCAAATCTATTTAATTAATTTATATATTATTTTACTTCTTCTGTTACGCCTTGCCTTAGAAGCAAATATGCATAACGCGTAAAGTGCATTCTAAAGTTACAATTAATTGAAATAGGTGAAACACCCTACCACCTGGCCTTTGGTACCGAAGCAGTCATCCCTATTGAGATAGGAGTTCCAAGCTTCCGGGTCACCCATTTCGATGAAGAACGAAATGGACAACTGCTTCGGGAAAACCTTGATCTGCTTGCTGAAGTCAGAGAAGAAGCTCGGCTTCGAACTCTTGTATACAAGCAGAAACTAGCCAACTTCTACAATAAACGGGTCCGCCCTCGAACATTCAAAGTGGGAGACCTTGTTCTCAGAAAAGCTGGCCTAACGGGGTTTGAAACTCGTTTTGGCAAACTTGCCCCAAATTGGGAAGGCCCCTATGCTGTGGCTGAGGTGCCACATCCTGGTGCTTATATTCTCCAAGACGCTGAAGGAAAGAGAGTTCCTAGAGTCTGGAATGTCAATAACTTGAAGAAATTTTACCCATAATAAAATTCTTTCAAGTGTTTTAAGTCTTATTGTTCTTTACGTTTCTCACTTCATGTTTATTGAGAATCATTTTACCTCTTATTCTATGTATCTGAGGTCAATCAGTTCATTCACTTCTATTAATAAATGTCACTTCACATTTGAAGTGCTTTGTTTCCTTCTAATTTCTTCGCACTAATGTACTTATTCCTAACTCATAAAAAGTGCCTTACTTCTTCTTTCATCTGAAGTGACTTACTTTGGTTAATCCCTCAAAGGGCTTACTTCTTCTTTCGTCTGAAGTGAATTACTTCTTCTTATTTTGTCTCAAGTACTCAGTTCTTTCATTCATAAAACATAACAAAAATATAAATCAAACATAAACAAATGTATAATTTCATTTAATTTAATAAAAACATTACAAATTGTTTAAATGTTCTCCAAAAAAGCAAAAACAAAATTAATTCTCTACTGAAGGAGGTGGCTTCACTAGCTCTTCTTCAGCTGGAAGAGGTGGCTGTCTTGGCTGCTGCTCGTCTGGCAGAGGAGGCTGATCATCATCAGAAGGAACTGGATGAATCTCCACTTCTGGAATTGGTTGGCTCTCATCCACTCCAGCTCCTTCCACTCCTGCCTCTACCTCGTCTTCCCCTACCTCTGCCCCTTCTTCTTCCATTGCCACGAACTCGAAGTCGAAGTTCAGAGGGAAAACGGTGCGTCCATCAGCATCATGATCCCACTTCAGTTTGATTTCTGGGCGGAACTCTGCTGACATACTTTCACCATCTTCCTCCACTCCAGCTTCTTGCTCTCCGAAGGTTATCCTTGTAACATCCACTTCGGGATAAACAGTCTTCACCTTCTTTCTGCAGTCCGTGAAGGCAATGATGGCAGTTGGCAATCGGTAGAGGTTGACGATGTTGTCCAACGAGCTGGAGCTGATGAAGTTGCTGATGTGCTCCTCCATTCCATTGTGCACTAGGGTCTGCACATTCCCCTTCAGCTCCAAAAAAGCCTCCTTGGTCAGCTTTAACTCTTGCGCCAGAGCCTCGCGCTCGTTTTCAGAGATCTTTCGCTTGGTCTCTTCAAAGCCGAGCTTGGTGCCCAGGGACGCCCTCTCCTGTTCCAACTGCTTCATAGCTGGAACCACCTCATTTAGAGACTCTTGCATCTCCTTATTCTTCTTCTCCAGCTCTTCCTTCTCCTTCTGCAGCTGGTCACACTGCCTCTGCAAGAGTGCGCGCGCCTTTACACCCTCCCTGAACTCCTGGGCTAGACCATTCACCCAGCTCGCACTCTGCAAAT